TGAGGGAGTTTCTGCAGACACATCTGATACTCTTTCCTCCCCTTCAATCACTTATTATGATAAATAACCTTATTCTCTGAATCTGCACCATGACCACAAGGCTTAACGTTCCAATTTCACTTGATCTTAAAGACATAAAGAGGCCTACCTCTTAGCATTAAACTAGTTGATATTGAGAGTCAGGGATGGGGTGCAGCTGCCTTCAGCTGTGTACCCCCGGTGACCTCATTAGGCACCAATGGACAGTTCTACCCAAGGCTCCCACAGATGGCCCTGGTTAAATAAAATGGGTTATAATGCAAAGCCACAGGTTACACATGTGGGAAAGAGACTGACCATGCTGGCTATAGGAGCGGTAAGAGCAGTGGGTGGAGTAATGCATTTTACATACATATGAAATTAGTTCAAAAAGATCTAACTGTATCTTGTACATCCCATACTACTTGGAAGTTGTAAAAATCAAAGTGAGAGCCAGGAGGTGGTAGTCTACACCTTTAATCCCAGCACGAATTATGTGGGAGTCCCCTCTGTGTGCTGTGATTACCATTAAAAATAAAGAAACTGCTTTGGACCTATAGCAGGGCAGAACTTAGCTAGGCAGGGAAAACTAAACTGAATGCTGGGAGGAAAGAGGGCAGAGTCAGGGAGATGAGGAGCTGCCTCCAGAGATAGATGTGCTAAGAGATAGATCTGCAATACACAGATTCATAGAAATGGGTTAAATTAACATGTAAGAGTTAGCCAATAAGAAGCTAGAGCTAATGGGCCAAGCAGTGATTTAATTAATACAGTTTCTGTGTGATTATTTCAGGGCTAAATGACTGGGAACCAACAAGCTGCCTGCTTCTACCCACGAAGGAGGCAGAGGCAGGAGGATCTCTATGAGTTTGAGGCCAGCCTGGCTCTACAGAGCTAGTTCCAGGACAAGCACCAAAGCTACAGAGAAACCCTGTCTCAAACCACGCACCCCTCCCCTCCAAATCAAAGTTTTCTGACAAAGATTTCAAATGTTTAACAGGCTCAGTTGCTACCTGGAAATCTCGGTGTGTGTGTGTGTGTGTGTGTGTGTGTGTGTCTGTCTGTCTGTCTGTGTGCGCATGTGCACACATACAAATATTTGATATTCTTGCTGTACGGTTCTACATTTTTGGCTGTGTTCCTATTTTTAATTTTAGTTCTTTTTCCCTGCAACATAGAAGACTAGTTCTATATATTGCTGAAGTTCATCCCACGTTGTCTACTCCGCCAGTGACCCTTTGTAATTTGTTCTTTGCCGCTTGTCAATTCATCAGGGTAATTTGAACTATATTTACTTTATTCTGAGCAATATACGACCCAGCCATGATGCCTGTCTAATTACCACTCATATTACTCCAAATTACTAGTGATTGAACAGTTTGTCCTACTGTTAACCCATCGGAGCCAGCTTTGGGGATACTACCCTGGCATAGAAGGCAGACGTGTCAGGTGAGGCAGGCAGAGCAGATGACAAGCAGCCTCCACTCTAGTTTCTAGAAATTTCCCTAGAGAGCCACCATAAGCTACTAACATTCTACCAACTATGGCTGCCTAAAACCCAGGATCAGGTGATAACCTCTGCCCCCGAAAAAAGGCATTGCACGAACAAGTAAGAACAGATAGCAACTCTATCAACAAATAAAAGAATCCATGAGATGGGCAAGTAGGAGGTAAAGGCCCCCTTCACGCATCTGGCCCCATCTATGGCCACATCACTGCAATAATGGATCAGACCACTTTTCCAATAACCTCAGGTACCTAGTTTTCTAGTTAAACCACAATACAGGAGCTCAAGGTCATAGACTTGATCTTTGTAAGCATCTAATAGGTAACAGTTTCGTGGTCAAACACTTGCCTTTTAACCTCAAGCTATTATAATACCACCACGTATATGAAAATGATTCACGAGAGAAGTCAAGAGCCAACAATGCAAACCCATTACCAGTACTGGAAAAAACCCGGGACAACCGACCTGAGAGTCAAGCCATGGAACAAATCTCATTTAAGAACTTTCTGATGATCTGGGCCTCAAGGTCAAACAGATTTGTTTTTTAAAGCCCGGTTCTGCTACTTTGAGTTCTGCATATGACCTCAAACAAGTTAACTGTCCAAAGCCTTAAAGGTATCCAGGAGAGTTTGCTATAAAGGGGCTAGCACAGGCCCAGTTGGCCCCAGATAAACCTGGCAGACAAGAGCACAGAGACGAAGTCAGGCACACCTGTGACAGCTCTGGCCTGCAGCACACTAGCCCTGATATACAGAATAACTGACAGCCTCATTAGTATCATGGAGCTGGGGTAATGAACTAAGGCATTTACGGAGGACCTAACACACCAAAAATGTCAACAAATGTCAGCCCTTTCTCTAACCATTAATAAGAAGAGGGGCTACTTTACAGTCACGGTCATCAAGATCCACTGACCAGTGTTTTCAAAGTGTGGTCAGGGCACTGTGGGTATCAGAAAACCTGAGATGTTTGTTGACCAAAAGGAAAAAATAAAAAAGAGGAAAAAAAAAACCCTATGTCTTACCTATTCATAAAAGCTCTCTAAGATGGGTACTAAATGTTATTTTCTCAATCAAACTCCAGGCTGCATGTGAAGTGTAAACGTCATTGATTCTGTAACCCTGTGCTGTGTATCAGGGACTGCCGTCAATGCTTATTCTCTATTGTGCCAAGAGAATGACCCGGTGTGTGTGTGTGTGTGTGTGTGTGTGTGTGTGTGTGCATGTGTGCCTGTGTGTCTGTATGTGTGTGTGCGTTGGGGGGGGGGGGTTCTTCAGCATTCTCCTGGATATTGAAACACCTTAATAGGTTTGTAGGTTTTTGGTCAATTCCCCATGTGCTCTTTTCCACAAACGGTTCTGTCTTGAAGTCTGTGTGTGTGTGTGTGTGTGTGTGTGTGTGTGTGTGTGTGTGTATGCGTGTGTGTATGGCTATATATGTATATATATTCCCCCTTTGACCAGGTGTAGGTAAATTATAACCTTGCATAAATCCAAGCTCCAGAGAGTACATTTGGTTAAAGGGCTATTTGAGAAACAAAATGATCCAGCTGATAAGATGTCCACAAAGTCTGAAAGGGCCATTCACAATATATATATATATATATATATATATATATATATATATATATATATATATATACCCTGCCCCCATAGAGGTTGTACTAACGCCAAACACACATCTGCTGGGTAGTCATCAAATTGTGTTAGGCTCAAAAGTTCTAGAGCCCCTGGAGGTAGAGGTGGGGATAAACAGTGCAACCAGCTAGGTATTTATTACAACTGACCTTGAGTAATTTTTATAGGAAAGATAACTTGAAGACTATAAAGCTTCCTAGAAAAGACCCCTACTGCTTACAAAAGCATTTGTTTGGTCCAATGCGCAGGACACACACTCTTGCAAGGACAGATTAAATCAATGCAAAGTATTAACACCATTACTAAAGCGCACAGAGGTCTTTACCAAGTCCCCACCCCCTTGTTGCCTGCCATCTAGGCTACTAGTCCCTTTCCCTTTGTGCATTGCTTGCTTGCAAGTGCATCCATGCCACAGATTCACACTATGTGCACAGGTGCGTGTGCATGCAAGTAACAGATGCCACTATCCTTTCTACACCATACAGGCTTTCCCTTCTCACGTACAGTGTTGCCTGGTTCTCCTTCCTAGCAGAACCGCTAACACTATGATTATCCTATCCTCAAAAGCTCCCAAATGTCCCAAATTAAGATTTTAAATAGCAGTCTTCCCTTTCACATTTGAGCAGCACTAATGTCCGGGGTTTCTCTGTTTCAGACGAGCTAAGAATACATTCATTTTATAACCCATCCAGCATGGAATTGATGCTACAAAGAAATGAAAATCTTCCTAGGAAGGGACACAAGGAAATGAAATGAACAGCACTTAAGTGTTTTCATTGTATGAAATTCACAGTGGACACACCAATCACCAGCAGGATAAATAAATAAAAGCTGCATGCGCGCTTGCCTTACACCACAAAGAAAACACTTGTACATTGGCACACCATGGCATTTTAGCCGGGGTTCCTGAAAACCATGAGATTTGGTACATTGTGTAAATACAAGTGCCAATAAAACGTGTGTGCATCTGTTGTGTCAGGGAGAGGCTGGGGAGGATAAGGGGTGGGACTTGCCAAAAGCAGCTATTTAAGAAAATTCCTTTTCTCTCTCATTCATTCTTTCTAGCCTCAGTGTCTGGCGCAGTCCTTACGGTTACTCATTGGCTTTTCATTCTAAAGACAGCTGACATGCTCTTAGAACTTCCTATGGTGCTATTTTTTCCTACACACTTGAAACAAAATCAAAACATATACTGATATTTTTTTAAAGGAAAGAAAAATATTGGCCTATTTCCTCACTCCAAAGACCCCATAGATATCTGGCTAAATATGATCCTTTGTTATGCATCCAAAAATATCTCCACCACATGGTATTGGAAAATAATAAATTATTCGTATTCCGGGATGTCACAGCTATTATCATCAATTTGTTTTACCTCGGTGAGTCCAATTTCACACTCCTCCTACTGAGTCCTACACGTTTCGCCTTTTCTCCTCGAACACTCCATTAATAAAATTAAGGGCTGAAAAGAGGACGCCAAGCGCCCTTCATGCACAATGGTCCTCTCCGAGACTGAGCCATCTCCCACCATGGGAAAGTTAACCTTCTAGCAAGATGCCGACCCCAAATCGGCCGGGGAAGAGGGGTGACGGAGGGGCTGCAGGAGCGCAACCTCTCGTTTCTCCACCTCCAGAGAAACATGGCATGACAAGAGAGCGGAGTAGGTGGGCGAGTGGGAGACCGAAATGGGTGCTGAGGGGGTGGGCGGGATGGGAAGGTAGAGTGCGGGGAAGGTTGGGGAGCTCAGCGCAGGGTTCGAGAGCAAGGCGGGGTTCGCGAGTGAGGCGGGCGCGGCGGTCAGGTCTCGGGGCGCGGGGCGCGAGGGGGCTGGTCCTCACCGTTGAACGCCCCTGCTTCCGCGGCCTCCTCCTCCTCTTCGCCGTTCTCGGAGTCGGAGCGCATGGGCTCCTCGGCGAAGTTGACCCCCTTACTGGGGGTGCCGCCCCCGACGGCGGCGCCCGCGTCCCCCCAGGTCCTGCCCTCATGGCCGAAGCGTGCGGCGCCCTTGCGCTCGTTCTCCTGCTGCAACCGCGTGAAGTGCTGCAGCGCGAACTCCAGCAGGTCGGCGGGTTGGTGCCTTAGCACCTCCACCGTGAAGCCCTGCAGCAGCTCCGTGAGCCCCGCGGGGATCTCGATGCTCATCCTGCCTGTGCACGCCCGGGGCGCCTGGGCGCCGCCCTCGCCCCGTTTCCCTCTCCGCGGTCCGGTCTCGGGCTGCGCGGCCCCCGAGCGAGCGCCCCCGGCGCTACCGGCTGTGAGCGCGGCGCACTGGGCCCCCGGCGCGGCTGCTCCGTGCGGCGGCGGCGGCAGAGCGAGCGCAGCCCGGGGAGGGTTGGCAGCATCTCCAGCTCCTCCCGCTCCCTCTCCCGCCGCTCCTGAACCGCCCCCCCCCTCCCGGCGCCCCGCCCCCGCCCGCGCGCCCACGTGATCCCCGGAAACCATAGCAACCGGGCGGGCGGGTGCAAGAGCCGCCTCGCAAGTGGCCTCCGGGTGGAGGCAGCGGGAACCTAGGGCGTGGGACCGAGGCCGCGGGCTCCACCAGAGTTCCCTGCGCAAATCCCACGCATCACTCGACCAAGCCCACCCAGAGTTGGTGTCGCGCAATTGGTTCTGAAACTTCAGCCTCCACCTTGGTGGTGGCTTTTTCTTTCCCTAGAATTCAACCGCAAGAGAAATGTGCATGACGTCTTTTGTTCAAGTCACACAGCTACACTGGCTATCTTTTGGATGAAAGAAATACTGCCCCTTGTTTGTTACAACATCCTTTTTCTTTCACTAGGTTTTATTCTGCCTTTCAGCCACCTGGCTGGGATATCTGCCTTACAGATGTTCTGCTATGGCGTGCTTGGTGCATTTCCTACTGGTGGCCCAGACAAAGGCAGCATTTATTGTGAAGCACTTATCAAAGTTAGTTGATATCCTTCAGACAGGATACAGGGTCGTCAGGGCAGGTGGTCAGACAGCAGAGTGCACTGAATGATCAGCCTCGTTGCTTATTTTTAAAGTCTTTCCTGACCCTTTGAATCATTTCAATTAGAATATAGCAATATAAGGAAAATAGAGCTACACATTTGTGCTTTTAAAAGTAAGCCCTTGTCTTTAAAACGAGCCTATTCCAAGAATTTTGAAGCATAAAAAATTATCTTTTGCCAAATTAAACGCCGTTTAAATGCACACATTTGTTTTCTACGCTTCCCGTTTTATTGTAAAGCTCTCCAAGCACAAGCTCACTTATCTGCTCTTCCTTTAGTTTTATTTTATTATTCTCGTTTACCTTTCTGCCCACACAAAAGGTAAATTACATGACTCAGGAAACCCAAAAACTAGAAATCAGAAATACCACTTTGTTTTTTATAAATATATCTTACCCATGTGTTTACACGGCATCTTGTATTTTCCCATAAGGGAATGCATTTCTCAAGTTCAGTTTTGTAACCTCATAATAATAATGCTTTAAAAAAATGCTTCTAGCAGAGGCAGGTGGATCTCTGTGAGTTCGAGACCAGCCTGGTCTACAAGAGCTAGTTCCAGGACAGGCTCCAAAACCACAGAGAAACCCTGTCTCGAAAAAACCAAAAAATAAAATAAAATAAATAAAAAATGCTTCTAAATGGTATTTGGGGAGTGCGTAAGAAATAAGCTTAGAAAATGTAGTGAGGAGATGGAGAGATGACTCAGTGGTTAAGAGCACTGACTGCTCTTCCAGAGGACTGAAGTTCAATTCCCAGCACCCACATGGCAGCTCACAGCTGTCTGTAATTCCAGTTCCAGGGGACCCAACACTCATGGCCAAACACCAATTTATATTTAAAAAAATTAAAAATTATAAAAAAGAGAAAATGTAGTGATTTTCATATGTGACATTGGAACACAGTATTAGCCAAGTTCTCTACCATGCAAGCATTATCATGTTGGATAGATCAATAATCTAAGACGCATTTCTATCACCTTTCTTCATTAATGATGTTTACATTAATTATGAGTGCCATTGTTCATATGCAGCAAAAATGTAAGCTATACAAGTTAAAACAAGTTGGGACTTTATTTCTCTATCTTTTAAAGCAAGCAATTGAAGGCTTTGGTGGTACTCAGTGGTAATGGAGAATTCACACTCTTTTATGGCTGCTGCACCTCCAGTCATTTAGTCAAGTTAGATAGGAGGAAAGTGGGAAAGAGACAGGACACCCCTCCACCCCCACAACCACAGCCACCCCCCTACCCCACTCCCCCCACCCCTCCACCGACACAACTACCCCACCCCACCCTACCCCAACCCCCGCCGCCAGTAAACACACCGCATCCTTTCTTTTGGCTTGGACCTATTGGCTGTACAAATCGCATTTCCTGAAAGTGGAAGTGTAGGTGCCTACAAGCCCATGCACTCTTCTGCAGTGTAACTTCTCCATTCCTAAACCAGGAGCTGAACGTCAGTGGGATTCTGACTGCTTGGTCAGTGGTGCATTTAGAAGTCACTCAAGTCCTGTGGTAAATGCCTGACCCAAGTTCTGATCCACAGGGTTGGTGAACATAATAAAAAGTTGTTTTAGCCTCTAAATGTTGGGGTACTTTGTTGCACAACAATAGCAATTAAATGCTACAATGGTAAAATTTGGGGAATGCAAATACTTAGAGATGAAGGAAGAGCAAATCTGAGAACAATTATTAGTCTCTGCCATGATGGTCAATACCTTTTCCCAAGGACAGAAGAAGGAAAGCACCCTTCTTGCAAACATTAGCAAGAGGTGTATTTTAAAGTCTTATCCTCCAACATGTGTTTCCAACTTCATAGATTTCTTATATGAGGTGTGGTAGATCAGTCACAATGCCAGGAGCTCTCATTTCTGTAGGGTTCCACAAGTAACGTGGGCATGAAATTAGTAATTGGGTCAGATGATCTGTTAGTCTCTCATCCTGGGAGGTTTTCAAGCATAGAATACCAAGAGCAGATATGTTTAAACTATATCTTGCAATCAGTGCCCTGATACGTTTTGTTTGCATCAATTTTTAAGTCAATAAACCATGACCAGAGAAAGAAAGGCTTCATCCCCATGTTCAGGTTATGTTATGCTAGAACTGTTCTCAGAACAAATTTTCACTTCTCAAATCATGTTCTGGCTTTTAATCACCACCACATAACCTTTGGGACAATATTTTATGGTTTCCTTTACTTTCATTTTCAAAATATTTTCTTTTGAGCCTTTGAGAGCAATGACAGTGTCCTATAGGGACTATTTATTTATCTGAGTTTTAAAAAGGGACATCAGGGCTATTGATTCTTTGGTTGTTGATTTACAAAGCAATTTGCACTAGTTTCTCAGATAATCAAACTAGAAGCAGTTGGAAAAGAACTTTAAGTTCTCAGCATTGAAATGCAATAAGAAGACTGCCAGATTTATTTCCACATGCAAAAATTGGACAGAGATAATCAAATTGCTTTAATACAACTGCTAAAACAAGACAGTGTCAAGAACAAGCCAATTATTTGGGCAAGTTTTACAAGACAGAATAACTGTGGTCAATAAATCACTTAGCAATGCCTATCATTAGTTAAGGTGTATCTTGATCAAATCCTTCTGGCTCATATAACAAATATGTACTCATAGAAAAAGAAAAAAAAAGAAATGAAAAATAAGCAGCTGCAAGCATATAGGAACTGTGCTTGCCCCAGGCCTTGGTTTTATACACCTTCATAATTTCAACGATGACTATGGCTTTGTTTTATCTATAAGGTTCTCAAAAAATCAAATCCAACTGGATGGTCTTGACTGTCCTGTAGTTGTCTGACCTTGACAGAGATGTTCTAGAAAGTGCAGCCACTGACAGGTAGGGTGAGGACGTGACAGTAATCATACTTGACAAGGCCTGGCTCATCTGCAGTCTTAAGTGTTTGGATTAAAATGGTATAGGCAACTCACACCGTATCAGTCAAAGATAGTGGCCTCGTAGCCTGTAAAATCAGAGTTTTCCTTTTGAACAACAGATTGAGTACACATTTATCTCTGCTTTTTAAAAATTCCACCAAAGTAATAAATAGTTAAAGGGAACTGAGGGGATCTCATAAGCAGAAGAGTAAAAGAACCCCATTAAAATTAAAACAATTGCTTTTAATTTACTCAGTCTTAAAAGGGAAAAATTCTAGCACATGCTTGAAGACATTATACTAAGTTGAATATGTCAATCAGTCCTAAGAAAATAATACAGTTTGAGTCTACAAATACAAGATAAGTAAAGCCATCAGAGTCCATAGGAACAGAAAGAAAAACGGCAGTCATCAGGGGCTGAGGACAGCAGGAGTCAGACGCCTTGTTTTAGTGGGTAAAGAACTTCAGTGTCCTAATAGGAAAGTGGTTTTGAATTGGTTGTATAATAATGTGAATACATTTAACATTGCTGGATTGTATTCTCAAAATGGATAAAGTAACAATTTTGTCACAGTTAATTCTAAGTTTATTTATTTATTATATATATAATGTTCTGTTTGCACATTTGCCTGCAGGTCAGAAAAGGGTATCATATCTCATTATAGATGGTTGTGAGCCTCCATGTGGTAGTTAGGAATTGAGCTCAGGACCTTGGGAAGAGCAGTCAATGCTGTTAACCTCTAAACCATTTCTCCAGCCCCTCTCACAGTTTATTTAAAAATATATATATTTATTCTTAAAGAATGATATACAATGTATTTTGATCCTATTCACTCTCAATTCCTCCCTTTTACTCCCCTCAGCTCTACCCAGATATGGCTATACCTTCCCTTTCCCCATAGTTAATTTTTAGCAGAAAATTTCATAACAAAAAGAAACAGGAAAAGAGACAAGAACAAATAAAAAATTGTCTGTGTGAATTTTGAGCAAACTTAACCAAACCGAAGAGTGCAGAAAGCTGGGCCTGGGTGGAGGGGTCAGCAAGAAACCAACAGGGGGGACCGAAGCACTGAGTGCCTATGAAGGTGAAGGAGGTGACAGGTGACAGGATGGGCTAAATTAGCAAGGTGCAAATAATACTGTTGTCCCTCTAGCCGGGATGTATGTGTGTGTGCATGTCTCTCTGTCATCTGTCTGTCTGTCTGTCTGTCTGTCTGTCTGTCTATCCTAGGTTGGTAACTGTTCTGTTCCCCCTCTAGCTGCTGTGTGTGTGTGTGTCCTAGGTCAGTGACTGCTCCCATTTCCTCTGACCTGCCAGGGGACCTTGCTCCTGCCATTATTGCCCTTCTGTGGCATCACAGTTTCCTTTCCAACTGAACCTCTTTGAGGCAAGCTGACTGAGATGTCCCCCTCCTAGTCAAGCCCTGAATAACCCCCTCTCCTGTGTGGGGTGCTAACTATGACTTGCTTTGGGACAAAGGGAATGGCTTTTGCAGATCACTTAGAGTCTCTAAGTAG